CGAAGGCTCCTCATCCACCGCTGATCTCGCGGTGCATTCCGTTACGAAGTCCGCCAGGGCTTGGCCCTTAATGGCAGGCCTCGGACGGATATCTATGTTGTATTGGCTGAGGAAGATGGCCCATTTCACCATCCGAGAGGAGCTAGTGGGACTCCTCATGAGGGCGCCGAGGGGTTGATGAGTGAGCACTTGGACCGGATGAGCTTGAAAGTAATGGCCAAGCTTCTTGACGGTCCAAACGATGGCTAGCACCGTCTTCTCGACGGGAGAATACCTGAGTTCGGCCTCCCGGAGGGTTTTGCTGACGTAGAAGATGGCGTGTTGGATGCCGTCTTCCTCTCGGATTAGTACTGAGCTGATTGCCGCAGGGCTAACACCGAGATACAAGTATAAGGTCTCCCCCACCTTCGGTTTGGAGAGCACCGGGGGAGAAGAGAGGTACTTCTTAAGTTCGTCGAAGGCCTCTTGACACTCGGATGTCCATTGGAAGCCAGCTGTCTTCCTCATGATTTGGAAGAACGGGAGGGCCCTCTCGGCTGACTTAGAGAGGAATCGGTTGAGGGCCGCCAGGCGACCCGTCAACCGTTGAACTTCTTTGACGTTGCGCGGAGGCTCCATATTGATGATGGCCTGAATTTTCTCGGGGTTGGCCTCGATACCCCTTCGGCTTACCATATAGCCCAAGAATTTTCCCCCTTGCACGCCGAAGGTGCATTTCTTTGGATTCAATCGGAGGTTGAATTTTTGCATGATGGCGAAGATTTCCTGGAGGTCCTCGGCGTGAGTGCCGGCCTTCTTGCTCTTGACAATCATATCGTCAACGTAAGCCTCCATGGTGCGTCCTAGGACAGCTTGAAAGACCCTAGCCACCATGCGTGTGTAGGTGGCGCCTGAATTTTTGAGGCCGAAGGCCATCACAAGATAGCAGAAGATGCCTTCGGGTGTCATGAAGGCAGTTTTTTCAGCGTCTTCCTCATGCATGTAGATCTGATGATATCCGCGGAATGCGTCGAGGAATGACATAATCTCGCATCCCGCGGTCTCATCCACAAGTTGATCAATGTTCGGCAGAGGGAAGGGGTCCATAGGGCACGCCTTATTCAGATCTGTGTAGTCCACGCACATGCGGAAGGTAGGAGGTTTTTGTGCGAGGACTACATTAGCCAACCAAGAAGGGTACTTCACCTCCTTAATGTGTTTGATGGAGAGGAGCATAGACACCTCTTTCTTTACGAACTCCCTTCTCTCGGCTGAGAGGGGTCTTCTTCGTTGCTGTACCGGTTTGGCCGAAGGGTCCACCGCCAGGCGGTGGGTGATAACCCTTCGGTCAATTCCTGGCATATCCTCCGGCCCCCATGCAAAAACGATGGAGTAGGCGCGGAGGGTCTTGGTGATGTCAGCCTTCAGGTCTTCGGGGAGCTTGGCTCCAATCTTCAGGACTCTCTCCGGCTTGGCCGGATCGAGTATCAAGTCTTCGGTGTCCTAGGCAGGCTCAGCCCTCGGCCTACCTTCTTCTTCCTCCAGGGCCTTGGCGGTGATGGTGTCAACTCGAAACTCAGTTTTACTAACCTTCTTGGTAAGTTGAAGGTAGCAGGCCCTGGAGAGTTTCTGATTCCCCCTCGAATAGCCGATGCCGGTGGGTGTGGGGAACTTGAGGCAGAGGTGCCTCATGGAAATGACGGCTTCCAAGTCCTCGAGGGCAGGCCGGCCGAGGATGATGTTGTGCGCGCAGTCGAGGTTGACGACGACGAATTCCACTTCGAGCTTGGCTCTATGGGATCCGTCGCCGAATTCGACCATGAGTGTGATGACGCCCTCGGCGTCTATGCTATCCCCTGTGAATCCGGAGAGGGGGGTGTTGATGTGCCGAAGGGACCCCCTTTTGAGTCCCAACTCCTGAAAAGTGCTGAGATACATGACGTTGACAGAACTCCCCGTGTCGACATAAGTCCGGTGGATGATGGCGTCGTTGATCTCAGTGCGGATGACGAGGGCATCCCTATGCGGCAGGGAGCCCGAGGGGAGGTCTGCATCCGTGAAGAAAATTGGATCCGCCCTCGGCCGTTTGGTTGGGGGCATGTGATTGACTTCCCCCACGTAAAGGGACTGAGCCCATTTCTTCCGCTGGCTGGCGGAGTCTCCACCGGTGTTGCCGCCGTTGATCATATGAATATGGCGCTTGTATTGTTGATGGGAGCCCTCTCCCTCGTCATCGAGGCCCCCAATTTGTCGCTTCTTCCCCTGTGGGTTTCCCAAGGGGATGGTGTTGGGGTTCACCCATTTGTTCGCCTTCGGCGGTGGTCCTTGATGGTGAGGGGGGCCTTGGGGAGGAGGGCCCCTGATAAATTGGGACAAGTGGCCCGCCTGTATCAGCCTTTCAATGGCGTTTTTTAGCTGATGGCAGTCGTCGGTCTTGTGTCCATGGTGGCGGTGAAAGCGGCAATAGGGCTCATCAGGGCCGATGGCATAAATCTCGAGGGGTGTCCGGGAGTCCCGCTCCACGAGCCCCCGCTCTTCAGCATGATCGAGGATGACGCTGACGGGATGCGTCAAGGGAGTGCGTGGGTGCTCAAGGAGGACGGGTTGCGCCCATGCCTTCGGATTGTTCTTGTAACCGCCCCCGGTTCTGGCTTGGCCACCTCGGGGGCGATCGTTGTATTGTGCCTCTCGATTGACCGGAGGGGGAGGTCCTCCGGGCCGATTCCTGCCTTCATTCTTCTGAGAAGGATCCGTGTTGCGGCGGTCCTTCTCGATTTCCTCTGCCTCGGCATACCGGTCCCCCCGCTGAAGGGCCTTCGTATAATCGCGGGGGGGATCAGTGATAAGGCTCCGGGAGAAGTTACCGTTGCGGAGGACGGTGTGGAAGAGGGCCATCAAGGTTCTGTCATCAGCACCTTCGACCTCGAGAGAGGCCTGCCTCCAGCGTTCTAGGAAACTCCGAAGGGTTTCCTCCTTCTGCTGTCTCACGTTTAGGAGGTGGGAGAAGTGTTTCTTTGAGCGGTGCCTCCCTGCAAATTGCGTAAGGAAGCGGTGGGCAAGTTCTTGCCAAGAATCAATGCTGCCTTCGGGCAACCGGTTGAACCACTCATACGCGGGTCCTTCCAAGGTGGAAAGGAACCAACGGCATAAGTATTCATCCGAGGCCCCCATCATCATCATGCTATTTTGATAGCGGCTGTAGTGTTCTTGGGGATCCGTCTTCCCCTCATACGGCTTGATGGGTTGCCCCCGATATTTGTGGGGGATTTTGGCCGCCAACACCCTTGGGGTGAAGGGGGTCCTAGTGCGGAGTTGAATGAGGGGCTCGCCAGAGCCCTCGGCAAGTTTACGTTTCATTTCCTCCACCTGTGCCCGGAGGTCAGCGTACTCTGGGTCTGGCCTCGCTGTGGAAGCCGTCGGGGGTGCCTGCCGATTCTCCTCGAGTTGACGGAGGAGGGCTTCAATGATTTCGTCCTTGGGATCCTTCGGAGCAACCCCTTGGGAGTTGGCCCGGAAGGACTGCGCCTGATTGATTTGGTGCCTGGCGTCATCGGCATGGAGGATCGCTTTGCCCTTGCTTCGGGGCGGAGGTACGCCCTCGGCTCCCGAAGCGGAAGCTCCGCTCTCCTGAGGCCTGCTAAATTCCTGTTTGCCGAGGCGGTCTTGGACCCCTCGGCGTATGGGAGCTCCCCCAAGCCTCTCAAGTGCGGAGGTCCGGGGTTTCTCTTTCATCAAGGGACGTTTATCCCTGGATTGGGCCTCTTGGGAGGCGGTGTCCTGCGCCATGACCCCTTCGGCGTTTCCAATCCCCGGGGGAGGATTGGTGAACAGAGGAGGGAGCGGTGGTAATTGAATAACATTCCCTGCAGCATAGGGCTGGAGGGGTGCCTGAGAGGCGAGGGCTCCGGAATTGAGAGCCATGTTTTGAACAAAGGCCGCAAAGGCAGCCTGAAGATCGATGGCCGGGGCCGGAGGGGGAACTTGGTTCTCACTCCGATCCCTCCTTCGATTATCAAGGCCAATGCGGGCATCAGGGGTGTTCTTCTGCAGCTGTTGACGTAGGTCAGCGGTGGCTTGCTCTAATTCGAGGATGACACCACCCTCGGGTACTAAGAGCCTGTTGGAGGCCTCAGCCCCGTTAGTCTCGCCGGGGGCTACGTAGTTTTCCTCAAGGGTCTTGGATTGGGCACGGGTGGTTCTTCCCATTTTTGGTAAGTGTCTTGTGTTTGGTAGAGGGGGAGGGTTTCTTACTTGATTGTTCTGACCTCTCAACGAGAGCACCAAATGATGGATAGCCTACCCGGGGGGTATCTTATCCGAAGGGTTATTGCGGAAATAACTGGAGAGAAGTCAGAGCAAATAGGAGGAGAGAGAGTCGATTTTATTAGATGAACTCGAGATGTGGAGCTGAGATGTAGATTGTGTCCATTACAAGGAGGAATGGGCTGCTATTTATAGCAGCAATAAATGCGATGAGAGGACACGTGTCAGTAATCCAACGGCCGAAGGGTCACATCAGCCTAGTGGCACCGGCAGCGGTACGTCAACCGCATTGAATGCGGTTGGCGGATGCGACGTGGCATTAAATGCGGTGGTTGGCTGTCTCTAAAAGGAATCTTCGATGATTGAGCTAGTTCAGCCGTAGGCTTCTTGCGTAGCCGAGGGCTCCTTGTGTAGCCGAAGGCTTGGCTGAGCCGAGGGATTCCCCTGGTGCCGAGGGCTCCATAGTGCCGAGGGCTCCCGTTTTCTGTCAATTTCTCCCAGTAGCTTCGCATGGTCGAATATGGCGGTTCTGTGAGTTCTGGAGCCTTCGGCCAAGGTGGCCGAAGGCATCCCTGTGTGTACCGTGGCCTTCTTGACGCTTGGGCCGCCGAATCTTGGGCCTCCTGAGCTCCTTGAGCTTGTTGGGCTTGTGATAGATTAGTAGGAGTCTTTGGGCCGGGGGTTCCTGGGCCATATACTCCATCATCATCTTTCAAAAATAGAACCACATGTATTATTTTCCTTAGATACGACTAAACATTACATTTCTATTCGTAATATAATTAATTGTCCCTATGAAAAATTTTCTTCCTGCAAAAGAAAATGTGGGGTGGTCTGTATTGGAATTGGAATAAAATACAGGAAGCTAAAATAGTGGAGCCAACGGAAAAAGTGGAAAGCAAGAGAGGATTGACACTGATGAGTCATTCACACAGAGCAAATTTCGATGCTTCCCACGTTTGACCATTGACCATGGATTGTGAAGAATGCTAAGATTTCATTCATGCATTCAAGAAACCAAAAGATGGTCACTATCCACATGCAAAGAAATACAAAACAAAGAAAATGAGGAAGTGATCTATCATAAGATCCAGTATTTAGATGTGGCTCCCAAATCCAAGAGGAAGAGGGGCCGCTACCGCCGCCGCCTCTCCAACTGCCACGAATGGGCTGGTGGCGATCGCCATTGACAAAGACAAAAGCAGCCAATCTGCACTCAGGTGGACCACCGAAAATTTGATCTCCAGAGGCCAAACCCTCATCCTCATCCACGTTGTCCACAAGACCTCCTGTATGCCTCACCTTCATTTCTTCTTCATACATTCTGTTGAATAGACCACATCAAAATATTATATGCAAAATATGGATGAGTGTTAGCTGTGGAACATAAATTTAGAATTTCATCAAAAGGCCAACTTGACATTCATGTAAGAACTTGGGTTGTTCTCAATGTGAAATTTGATGGATTTTAAGATTCCATGAAATTTAAGGTGTCCTCAATTCAAAATTGTAATAATCCCATGGGATTCCTAATCTTCCCAATTAAGAATTTTTGTGCACTCCATTAAACTCTAGATGTCTTCAACTATCAATCATTATGCATTTCTATGAATTCATATACATTTTTTTGCGAGGAAATTCGTATACATTTTTAACCTAAAAACATTACACACATGTTTATCAAATTCGGCCACATATCCTCTTATTTCATGGATTTCATAGAATTCTATTAGAATTTGATAGTACTGAATTTTTATTAAAACATACACTAAATCTTAAAAAACTTGAAATTCTTTGTCAGGGAGTCCCATTTAAATTCCACTATTAAAAGACCAATCTAATATGAAGAGTGACTTAAGATCTTATATGTTGATTTGTAATTTCTTCATACTTGATAAAATGTGAGAAAAACTCTACAAGAATTCTAATAGCCAACATAAACATCATATAATTACGCAGTTGGAGCAGGTGCTGCTATTCATGACGCCTCATCCTACCGCCAACATCTTGAGAAACACACCAAAGAGTTGTTCGCTATATTTCATGTTTTTTGCACACGTAAAGATGTAAGATTTCTGTTGAGACAGACACATGTTCCCTTTAATATGATATTGGGCCGGGAGCTCGGGACAAATACTCCAATGTTTCAAATGTGTATATTGTGGGATGCATGCAGATACATTCCTTGGATGTAATACTGGAAGACACGGATATAGCAAAAGCTTTGAACGAATACATCTCTGGTGCTGCAATTGAGAACTTGGTTCTCGGTGCATCAAAGCATGGATTTCTCAAGTTCAGTAATTGTTCTAATCAATTATTTATATCCGAGTAGTGTTATGGGGCATTAATATGGACATTCTTGGGAGACTTTCTTATGTGGCACACATACATTTAATGATGAAAAGTTAGACTTGTGATGACTTATGAATGTTTCCCTAAAATGTCTAAATACAATATTCACCTAACATCACTCTTATCGCTTCAATCTTTCCAAAAAACTTTATTTGATCACTAAATCTTATGACCAAATGATGTTAGTGGTTAACTTACAGGAGGCTAAAGGTTATGGATGTTCCAACGAGTGTATCAAAAGGATCACCAGATTTCTGTACGGTTTATGTCATTTCTAAATCCAAAATCTCATCCGTTCGAAATGCTTCTCGACCAGCTCCCTTCATTTCTCCTCTCTACAGCCAAATCCATCAGAAACATGAGCAACTTCAAGAAACTGCCGCCGACACCAACAACATCAACAAAATCAAAGCTGCTAGCACCAACAAAACTAAAGCTAATGGCTTTTCACCTATGGCGCGTCATAGGCACACTCCTACTTTCAATGGTAAATGACATTACTACTTTGTTTGATGCTTAATATGGATTTGGCCCGGTTCTGGGTCATGGATAGGGCTAAGGTGGCACAGGAACCGGGTACAAGGTCCAGTTCCAGGCCAGTTGTTTGCCCTGTTTAAAAAAACTGTGTCGAAACCAGTTTGGTCCTACTTTGGAGAAACCAAAACCAAACCAGGTTTGAACCGTTTCCGGTCCAGAACCAAGCCTTGGCATAAACATTCATACCCAAAACTTGAATTTGAGCATTGTTGCAGTTACCCTGAACGGAGATAAGCTTGGAGCATTTGACAAGTCCCAACGCACCTCTTTCACATACAATGATGACATAGAGTCGTCGTTCAGGTAAACATTCAGGGTTCCATTCTAAACCATGAAATTTAGCTTCCAACAATGACACTAAAAAGCAAAGGTTTAAACGATATATAGGTTGCCTCTTGTCAAAGGAAGAGGTATCCCTGGAAGAGCATTTGGGGACATTTCAGAATCAGACACAGATATTTCATTTGTGAGTTCCGATCGGCCTAGTACCGACCGGAGTCCTATGTTTTACGATGGAATGGAGTCAGGACTTACATCCCAAGCATCGACTAGCTCCGAAAGTAGCTATGGGTCTGAGCGCTTCAGATCTAAGGCCAGCGACACAAGTTCTTTCACTGATATTTCATCCTCGTACCTTGACAACGTAAGGCAAAAAACATGGTTTGGTTCATTTCGGATAAAAAAGGGGCAATTTGAGTTTGCACCCCATTTTATTGTCCAAATTAGACTTTGCACCCCGTTTTTAAAAAACTTTGTATTTGCATCCCAACTCCGTATGAAAAGACAAAAATGCCCTTCCATTAACAATTCTGTTGGCCTTCATCATATTCTTGATGAGGGGCATTTTTGTCTTCTCATACGGGGTTGGGGTGCAAATACAAAGTCTTTAAAAAACGGGGTGCAAAGTCAAATTGGACAATAAATATGGTGCAACCTCAAATTACCCTGATAAAAAAAACATAAAAGTTCAGTTCATAATTGTGAATTGACAACAAACAGGATGACGCAGATGCCGAAATGAAAAGGCTAAAGCAAGAATTGCAGAAGATGATGGACTTGTACAGCACAGCATGCAAAGATGCCTTGACTGCAAAGCAGAAGGTAACACATGCATCTGTAGTTGTCTTGAATTTTGATCATTTAAGTGTTTGCTGTTTGGTAACATGCATGACTTGATGCCAGCATGTCTCATGTGAGAGTCACACAAGTTAAAAGGTGGAAAAGCATCATGGTAGTTTCATGTTAGCTGACCCCAAACTCTTACAGGACTAAGGCTTGGATGTTGTTGTTTGGATCAGTTTCCTTTTATTTATATTAGTATTAGTTTCATGTTCATATCATTATAGTTATTTCCTTATTCAGTTTCAGTCAGCTTTTTATTAGTCAATAGCTTCATGTTCCTACTATGATCATGGCTTTTCCAATTAACTACAAGGGAAGTAGGGAACTAATAACCTACTTTTTACAAGAACTAATTTTTGTAAATCTTAATAAAGTCAGGCACAGATGAATTCAACACTAAGCATAGATACAAAATAGACCCCTTCATTCTTTCTCCCTAGATCTAAGACGTTAATAATATTATAGGCAACTGAGCTCCAATTATGGAGAATCGAGGAAGAGAAAAGATTGGAAGAAGATGACATGGCAGAGCATATGAATGTAGGGAACGGGAAGGCCAAGTCGTGGACAAGCAATGAGAGTGCCGATATAGCGAAAAGGAGAACTGAAGCTGACAAAGAGGGGAGAGATGAGCACTTTGGGATAGGGTTGAGATACAGGAGGTTTGTTAATATATGATCCTTCAAAACAATGGGCTTGTGTGGTTCGGGTATTTGGAGGAGGGACTGGAATAGGTGTTTTCTACTTTTAAAGCTATTTTTGTATTTCGAAAGTTTAAAATTAGCTGAAGATAAAAACCTTGATCTAACTAAAGGTATAGTTATTACTAGTAAACTAACAAGTAGAGATAAATCAGTAAAATAAAATACTAATCCTTCCCTCCCCTATCATCTGAAACCCTTGAACCAAACAAGTCTACTGCGTCACTTTTATAGGTAAACTCAACTAGAAGTTAAAGTTTATAGTTAAAATCTATATCAATTGTGTATATCATTTACTATTCATAGATACACCATAGATGAAATCGATGAAGCTACAGACCACTTCTCGGCATCTAGAAAGATTGGGGAAGGAGGGTATGGCCCTGTCTTTAAATGTTTTCTTGACCATACAGCAGTTGCAGTTAAGGTCTTACGCCCAGACGCTGCTCAAGGACGGTCACAGTTCCTCAAAGAGGTAAAATTTGTCAATAAAGTTCCTACATATTGTCACTTGGGTTACATAAGAATTATTTATACCACCATTTTTCTAATTACATATCCATTAATGCAAGGGTAAAATCGTATTTTTTGCATGATACCGTGTGTCCATGTGGAAACACATTCTAGTCCAGATCCCGCTTCCATACTGTAATAGCACCCGAATTGTTACATCACAATTCACAACCACTGATCCCGGTCCTAGTCGTTCATCCAAGGGGTGTTAGTTTGGTTTTGTCAGTTTTGCTTGGACTAGTACTAGTATGTAGCCGGTTTGATTTTGAAAACTACAAAATCGAGAGCCAAAAAGAACATTTTTATTGGTTTTGTCCAGTTTGGTTTGGTTATTTTCAGTGTTCATCAGTTTTGGCTGGCTTCCATTGTTTTCCAATTTTGGTTGATTTGGCCGATTTGAAATCATAAATCTTAAACCATAAACCGAACTGCTTATGGGTTGTTTCGGTTTAGGACGGTTTCGGTTTTTCAATTCTTTTGTTCACCCAGCCTAGTTCATCTGATCTGGACCAACGATTGTCTGTTAAGAGTTGGGACAGCAATCACAGCACCGAGTCTGAAGTTCTTTTTCGTGCACCAAACGTCACTCAAAAAAATCCATACTACAAATTCCATATAATCACACAATGATACTTCCCGTTTTTTATCACTTTCCTTAACTGAACTTAGTGGGACAGAGGATGCACTACACTCCATACTGCAACCATAATTGGCTTATATGCAGAATAAGTAACTTTTGACTGAATTGTTTAGCTAAAACGGGGTTTACCAAACGCTATTCCTTTCAGAAAGTTCAACAGATCGAGCTATTTCATCCAAATAACCCAAAAAAATATTTTGGAACAGATTGAGGTGCTAAGTTGCCTGCGCCATCCAAACATGGTAATGTTACTTGGTGCTTGCCCGGAGTACGGCTGCCTGGTATACGACTACATGTCTAATGGAAGCTTGGATGAACGGCTCTTCAAACGAGGAGAAAAACCCGCTCTCTCCTGGCAAGTGAGGTTCCGGATTGCAGCAGAGGTCGCCACCGGTCTACTGTTTCTTCACCAAACCAAGCCGGAGCCGGTGGTGCACCGGGACCTCAAACCGGCAAACATCCTACTTGACGAGTACTATGTGAGCAAGATCGGGGACGTGGGACTGGCAAGGCTGGTCCCCTCGAACGTGGCTGATGATGTCACGCAGCTGAGGATGACATCAGCAGCCGGGACTTTCTGTTACATTGACCCGGAGTATCAGCAGACAGGGATGCTTGGAGTTAAGTCTGATGTTTACTCCTTCGGGATTGTGCTTCTGCAATTGTTGACAGCGAAGCCGGCGATGGGGATAGCACATAAGGTGTCGGATGCTGTGGAGAATGGAAGATTCGAAGAGATCGTGGATCCGGTAGTTACGAACTGGCCAGTTGAAGAGGCATTGACCATGGCGAGGATCGCCTTGCAGTGCGCAGAGCTGCGGCGGAAGGACCGGCCAGATTTGGGAAAGCAAGTATTGCCAGAGCTGCTGAGATTGAAGGAAATGGCGGACCAGAGTATTGGCCAATTCATGGTGGTTGGTGGTTCCTGATTTGCAACAAGGTGTTACTTCTATTCTTCTTTCTATTGCTAAACTTTTTCAAAACACAATTTCCTTTTTACAAAAAAATAAAAAAAATAGAAAACATAGGAAAATACATTTTATAGGAAAATAACAAATACTTCGTATACGACTTAAAAACTGATGGAGAAAAATATTCGGAGTAGTTTTTATAAGCACCGATCATGGTGATATTTTCACACTGATAGTCTGATAGTGGTGATCACAGTGCCTGGATTCAGGGTTATGCATAGGCCATAGGATCTGAATCCTAAATGAGGAATAATAATGATTTCTATTTTCAAATTAAGAAAAGAAATTGCAGTACACTAATATAAAAGTGAAATTTTTTCACTCCTACCATCTTTTTACATACTGACAGTGAACTAACTTGCAGGACCTGGTCAATACATCAACACAGCTTATCCATCCGCATTTCACACTTCATCAAACTTAATTAGCCATGGGAAAAAATTTCTTACGTTTCATTCTCTACTGTGCATATAGAATAGAATGAGCCCAGACTCAGTGTGTATGTATTATTGATAGATAATTTAGTTTAGATGGTAAATGAAATATTATTCACTTTACCTAACCACAATTTATCCACCATCTAGCAAAAAACATGCTCATTTTGTATATATGAACTATAGACAATAATAGTGTAGATGAAAAGCTACTGTGTTTGGAAAACTACAGTACTATTTTAATTTTTTACACCATTCATCTTTGTCATCCTGTTTTTGTCATCTACTCTACACCGAGTTCCTTTTAATAAAATCTCCGTTCAGTACAATACATAAAAGAGCTTATATCCAAGCAATATATAGTTTTTTATTTTGGAGAGGTACAACTGATATAAATTATTTATTAATTAATCTTTTACTGTCAATTTACACTTTTCAGATTTCATTTTGATTAAATTCTCCCACTTCCTTGAAATATAATTGTACAAAACCATTTTCCATCATTTTTAATGGAGCCAAAGACACTATTTTTTGACTTGGGAATATGATGGAATAAAGCAAAACGACTCATTAAACTGTCTGCGCTTCCTGGTTATGAAGCAGTAAGTCCATGCAACTTTCGACGTGATTTTCATCATGCGTCATCCGGAAATAGCTTCATTGCGCTTTGGTATAGGGGTAAGGGTGCGTACATCCCCCCCACCCTACCGTTGATGGGAACCTTTGCGGTACTGGGGTAATGTTGTTGTTGTTGATAATAATACAAAACCAAAATATAAGGCATCAAGATACTTCTCTGTAATGATGTCAATTGTGTTATTTCTCATGTCACCACAAGCTTAATTTATACGACTAATACGAGTGCAGTACTATAGTTAAATTCAAACGACTAATTCAACAATCTCCATGAAAATGAGACTACAAGTAGAAACGACGCAGTACTCGAGGACTAAAAGCAAACTTTGATCCTATTATCTTCTTCATTTAAGAATAAAAAAGTGACAGTAGTTCTCATGTTCTAGTCTACCAAGCCACAAAGGAGACATACTCTCAAAATCTCAGGGATGCCCCCTCCCATTGCGAGTAAACCAGGGAAATGGAGGGCTAATCCTTTGTTATCATTGTGCATGCGGCCATGCCCTACTAAACCCTTGTATTGTCATATTGTGACTTTGTGTGATATCCTTTCCATTGTATTGTGAGGTATCCTTTGAAACTTCTCCAAATGATTAAAAACCCAAAGTTCCTAACCTTTTGTATTCGAAATCCGCTAGGAACATAAGGGTTTGAAGCTCAATGGAGTGAGTTTCAATTACTCCAGGCCCCCCAGCCCCTTCCCCCAGACCCCCCTGGAGTAAAAAACAAATATTTATACAGCATCTACATCATCTACATCCTCTTGTGAAATTTCATGGTCATAGTTTTGGTGTGCAAGGTTCCTTGTTTCGATAACCATCACATGGAGATGTTTCTGTGGTGCAAAATGCAAAGTGTATTTAATATGTGTGTGAGTTGATCATGCCATTCATGCGATCTTAAAAAATGCTCTGGCGTTAACACTACCAATAAGCCAATTTGGGAACCATGAGAAATAAGCACTCAGTATAATATAATGGGAATACACAAGCAAGAAGAGTTTGAAACTTCACAATTCGATTGTCAAATACAAAATGAAAATGAAAAACATACCATACGGAATTACAGATCTTGGCATCTACGGAGGAGGAGGAGTTGAAAAGGCCTGTTCTACCTTCAGTGTGAGAAGAAGAAATGCAGATACAGAAATGCAAAGTGAAGCCAGCATGATAACTAGCATCAATTGCAAAGAGATGAGAGGGCTCAAGAAGAACACAACCGCCACTGCAAAGCTTTGCCAAAGCTTAAGATGAGAAAATGCTCCTTCCTGTTATCGATAAAAAGATTTAAAAAGGAAAATATTCGTCTTTGAAACACAATGTGACAATCAACGCGATACTTTCCAGGATACTTGGCAATTTGAATGATAAATACAAAAAATAAATTTGGACAACTAATTAGGCAATTAGCAAAATAATTTCTTGCTGCTGATCCCAACTGATTAAAAGTTTATAATGACTGGTTTGGTCATTTTGACGATTTTTTATTTTACTCTCTAAAACAAAATTCATGCTTAAAATATTTATGAATTTTATACAATTCATCAGAAAAGCTATTTTTAGAAAATAAAATCTTGATTCCAAAGGGGCAGGGGAAAGGAAGGACTTGGTATAATGTTAAGATGTTGTCCACCTGTCCCAGATTTTGCTGTCCATTATGAATAATTCATCATTTTTGCAAACTCAAGGCAAATTGAGATATTAAATAGTTTGGGTGCAGCATAAGCCACAATAAGGTCTCATTTTGTGAGGTTATTTGGGATAAATAGATGAATTTACTGACGCATTCTGAAAGGAAAGTGTTTGTCAACAACCATTTCAGCCAAGTAAGTTAAAAACTATGTATTCTGCTTATACCAAACAAAGCCCACGGAGATTTGTCTAACAAGTAGTATTACCAAATCATGATTGTACAGAATCCCAAGAAAAGCACTTAATTGGGTATTAAGCACTCCATCTCCGATGCCCCATAAAGCAGCTATTACAAGGACACCAACTATTCCAAAATCAACACTGCAAGTGGAAGACAAAACACACACACACACACACACAGATAAATAAACCACACCACATCAGCTGCGATTTCACCAAGTACAACTAAAAGCCAATTTCCACCAAACCTGTGCTTAAGCAGAACCCAAAGCAATACAAAGCCTTGTATTATACCTCCACCACATACTATTATCGTGATTGATTTAAGCCCAAAGGTGAGGTGACCAGCAGCTACTGAACACTACACAAAGTCAACAACTTAGACACTTTAAAATGATATGAAGGGTAAATATTACATGATTACATCAATGTTACAAAGAGACTATGTGAGCATTACTTACAATTGCATCAAAGAGACCATAAATGGCCATTGCCCCACCTACACCACTCTCTCCCATTTTGGGTTGTACAATATACTTGGTGAATTCAGCCCTGAAACATTTATCAAAATGGAGCAAACAAACAGAAAAGGAACAAATTGCAAAATCGGTGTCTGAGCTTTTTTCATATTTCTCTGCTTTAGTCTTTAGTGCCTAAACTTTTCTCTATTTTCACAGTGACAGGCTGACAGCACATACTATTTGCTCCACTTAGCAATACAGACATTGTATTAGTACATGTTTTAGTTTAGACATGCCAAATCAAGAAAAATAAAAAAAGTTTTAGACACTGAAATATGAAAAGAAAAGTTCATAAATCATAACCACTTTTGTTTATTACTAACAGTTTGAGGAAATGGTTTGTGCTCCTTCCATCCCAATAAAGAATCGTGTGTGGTCAATTTAATGCCTTTAAATTTTGAAAAGCTACAATGGTTAAAAGTTATTATGAATTTTGAAATCCCCACTTACTTTTTTAGAATGTAATTGTTGTTTTAACTAAATTTATCATATTTAACATGTTCGTGACTTGGATTCATATGATGTGATGGGACTCGTTGAAATAATCAGCTCCATTACTGGTTAATGTAATGGAACCAGTAATGGAGTAGCATGTATAGCTTAAACAAAAAACTAGATAAAAACTATGTACCATACAAAAGCTTGTTGTAAGCCTGAATATGTGATGAGGGGGATGACCAAAACCATTCTAATGTCAAGCAATAAGTTGGCGATAGACTTAGATGAATAGGCAATTGATTTGAAAAAACCGACAGAAGAATCTTCAAGTGATGCCTCCTCTGTAGCGCTTCCTCTACTTAGAAAGCACATAAGAACGGTACCTAGAGACATACTACAAAGAAATACAATGAAAAGTATAGTTGTGCCCCTCGTGTCTCCTCCCCCCTGTGGCAAAACATAACCAAACTAATAAGAAGAACTGCACATGTGTGTGTATGCACATGCATGTGTATGTATTACAACATATAAACATACCATTGCAGTTCTTAACAGAGCAAGAGTGATAAGATTTCCTACTACCTGCAACATTTATCTGAAGTGACATTACTAAAACTTCACTAACGCTCCATTTGGTAGCCAAAAGTGGCTTATTCTTCTTATCGGCAGAATAAATAGCTTTCGATTATTTGGCTGAAATGGATGTATCAAATGCTTCTCCTTTTTGAAAGTCTCATTTCAGCCAAATTACTTTAACCAAACAATCTCTGAGATAAAAAGTCCAACCACACTAGTATTTATCTACCTGGTTACTTGCAAAAACACCCCAAAATTCTCCATTAAATTTTCCAATTACAGTCCCGACATGAAGGCTAAGGTCATTTGCATGACCCTGTGCTATGGATGTAAGATATGTCCCCTGACAAAGGATAAAGAAAACATCTTTAGTTTTACTTTATAGTAAACCATCACATCAAAAATTTAAAATATATGAATACCAAAACAAAAATTAGTTTCTTGCCTGCGCAACCCATATTATTGCAGCAGCAAATCCCAGGTACAATGAAGCAGGTATCATTGTATACCTGAAATGTCATTTAATAAAATCATGGATATTACATAATTTCTTACACTAACTTAAATATTTAAATGCCACATATACTGCACGTAATCGCAGGCATCAGATATAAATGATTTATATTAATCATGGTTTTAAATTGCGTCGCGGTTGCAACCACTGCAGTTGTGACTATTGTGGCCGCTGTGATGCGTATTGTGGCCAATATGATGTGAACTTATTTTACATTCAAACCAAATAAAAGAAAAATTAAATTAGTGGTCCTGATGCGGCCTGATGCGGTTGTGTTGCGGTTTTGGGCATGATTTCAAAGGGCACAGCCGTTGCGGCCTGATGTGGTTGCGGCACCGCCCGCAAACGCAATATTGTGGCCTCATCGGGCGTTGAGGTCAACATTTTAATTCCATGATAGTAATAGCCCTTAATTTTGAAAAAAAATCAATTCCTACACCGTCATAACTCATAAGTAAAGCAATTATGATGTTATTAATTGGATTGTGTTTTTTTTTATCTAAACCGGCCTGTTTAAGTCTGTTCTAGTAAATGTCTTGTCTATGTGTATTTTACAACTATCAAAGTCTGGTACTGTTTAAATATGTTCTGATTTGTTTTGTTCCAGTATGAAACTGAAACCTTTATGCCAACTCAAACCAATCCAAGTAAATACACCTTAGTGATCTCAACTTCACAAAACATTTATGCCACTTTAATAGCCAAAGTGATAGTTATGAGTATAAAAATAAGATTTTTTTAAAAAGGAATGAGGTTTACCATGTGGGCTTCAAATTTGCAGCTATGAACAACCAATAGCCAGTAGTACCAAGGATCAGCGCATTTTTTGACCCAAGCTTTTTTACCACAACAGAAGCAACTAAGGAGAAAACAGTGAATGATAAGTACAATACCCCCAGAGATGTTGTCCCCAGATCTTCTTCCTGACATAAGAAAAACTCATTGTGTCATCTTCCAACAAGTGAGACATCATAACGAAAAAAGGGGCCAGCTTTGCTTGTTAGATTTTGCTTTGAAATGTTTGGATTAGAAGATAGCAAATGAAAATGAAACTCACGGTATTAATAGTGCTTTCCAGATTCTGGGCAGCCCCATAAGCCAAGAAAATCAGCAAGAAGGCACAACTCAGGATATGAACGTCTCTTGCACGATCATTTAGACATAGCCTTTCATTCTGATAATTTACAAGGAGGGGTAATTCTGAATCTACATCAGTAGCCATTTAGAAGACCCAAAACGCTAACTTCGATCAATTTATACAAAAGTTATAGATGGGAGATTCCCTTTGCTTGCACTCCCATATAGGAGGGTGGATATTTGTTTCTACAGATTTTCATCACCATAATACTGATAGTCTGATAATCGTGATAATTGACTGGTTTAGACTTTATGTACTCCCTCGATAGGAAAATAGTGATGTAGGGAGTATAATACCGTCTACCTTTTTTTGTTCAAATTACCTAACTGGTAAAGAAAAATGTCATTGGGCATATTGGTAAAAAAATCAATTGAGACCTAAAGGTAATAAAAAAGGTCTTTTGACAAATTGGTCAATTTTTTTTTATGGTAAACTTTCGATTCTCGACTTTAGAATTCTCGACATTTCATATTCTAAGTATTGTGAAATTGACAATTGTAGTCTTTTTATTTTGATTTTGTCATCAAAAGTGGAGAACTGAAAATATCAATGACCATGTTTGATAATATTAGTTGTATGTTAGCTCATAACCGGTTGAATGAACAGATTGATATTAGCGGAATCGTTAACTTTTTTAAAGAACCGCTTTCATTAGCGGTTTGAAATAAAATGTTAGTAACTTAAAATTTGTAATTAGTTTTTCAGACATGAAATGATCATTAAAAAATGAATTTAAAAGTTTGTATATTTAAATTAATTTTATTTCTTTTTATTTTTATTAAGTTTTGGAAAATGTTTTAAAATTTATGTTTACGTTTATTTTAAATTCTAGTAATTACTAACAGTATCATTTTAAGATATGTACATTAATGCAAGCACACACATATAAATTCATATATTTTTAGTAATAATATTTTTAATATGATTATTTATTAGTTTTTTTAAAGTCTACTCCGTTAAAAAAATCTACTCCAGAATCAGACTCCATATGACTATTTATCAGTTTTCTTAAAAAAAAAATTACTCCATGGTTATTTAAATAAATGTAAATATAATTTGTAAAACCTTTTCAAAGACTTATTAAAAATAAAATAAATAAATAAATAAATAAATAAATAAATAAATAAATAAATAAATAAATAAATAAATAAATAAATAAATAAATAAATAAATAAATAAATAAATAAATAAATAAATAAATAAATAAATAAATAAATAAATAAATAAATAAATAAATAAATAAATAAATAAATAAATAAATAAATAAATAAATAAATAAATAAATAATAAATAAATAAATAAAAATATATAAATAAATAAATAAATAAATAAATAAAAAATTATGTACTTTTAAATTCATATCTCTAATGGTCATTTTACGCCTTAACATTTAATCGCAATCAATTAAGTTACTAACAATTTATTTCAATCGCTAATGAAAGCGGTTAGTTATAAAAGCTAACGAAATCCGCTATCAATATGTTGATTCATCCGGCTATTAGTTACCAAACAAATGCTATTATCAAACACGGTTGTTGACATTTTTAGACTTCCACTTTTGTTGACAAAATTAAAGTAAAAGGACTCAAAATGTCATTTTCACAATACTTAAAATATGAAAGGTCGGGAATTCTAAAATCGGGGATTAAAAGTTTATCACTCTAAAAAAATTGACCAATTTGTCACTAGGGCTTCTTTTTTTACCAGTATGTCTCATGTGGTTTTTTTATCAATCTGTCAAATGACCCTCTTTTTATTACCAATTTGGTAATTTGACCGCATATTTTTATACATTTCATTTTAGTAAAATATTAATTAAATTATTACAAACAATGTTTTTCTTTAATTATTTTCCCTCGATAAATATGATATTAAAAAATGCACATTTTCTTGTTAAAAAATAAAATAAAATGATATATATTTTTATTTTACTTTCTCCTGTTAATAAAATATAAAATGGATTCAAGTAAAGTTTGATTATTTGTGGAATCAACATTACTTAAAAATTGTGTTACGTGTATTTTTTAGCCTAAAACTCTAGTAGTGCAACTTTAGTTTTTTTTTAGATTTGTAAATGCAATGTTGGTATGATATGAAAGATAATAAAAAACAATAATGAATTTTGATATATGTTTTGTAAGAATTGGTGCACAGATAAAAAAAAAGTTGTAAAAATCATACACCCTTTATCTATCAATCTTTATCTCATCTTAATTTTTTCATCTATCACATTAAGTTTTTATATGGTCTTATACATGCACCAATTCACTGGTATTTAAAATTTCACTAAACCATTCTCAATTTTGATTTTTCAGTGAATGAATCTGATGCTTGTGTGTACTCAAAGATGGTTGGAACTAATTGTGTATTTATTTGTCTCTATGTTGATAACATGTTGATCTTTGGCACATGTGTTGAGGTTATAAATGAAACTAAAAGTTTATTGTACTCCAAATTTGAGATGAAGGACTCAGGGTGAGGCAAACATGATTTTAGGAGTAAGAGTCACAAAAACGACTGATAGATTCACCCTAAGTCAACCTCACTACTTATGGTTCTAACGTACATTTATGTAAAGATTTGGGTAAGAGTGTATCTCAAATTGAATATGCTAAGATTATTTGGAGTTTGATGTTTTTAATGAATTACATACACTCGACTTGACATAGTTTATGCAGTTAGTAGACTAAGTCGGTACACACATAACCCTAATAGTGATAATTGGAATGCTCTCACCCGATAAATTTAAATACCTAAGAGGTATCATGAATTGGGGCTTACATTTTACTAGATATCCTGCTGTTTTGGAGAGTTACACTGATGCTAATTGGGTGACTGTCGATGATGAGATTAGCTCCACTAGTCATTTTGTATTCGATTTGGGTGGGGCTAGCTGTTATTTCTTTGAAATCTACCAAACAGGCAGTCATTGCTAGGTCTACTATGGAATCTGAGTTCATTGCAATGGACTAGATGGTGAGGAAGCTGAGTGGTTGTGGTCATTATTGGCTGACATACCTTTGGTGGGAAAGTACACACATGTTGTTTCACAGTTCTCTACATTGTGATTCACATGTAGCCATTAGTATTGCCAAGAACGTGGCCTTTAATGGCAAAAAGAAACTGTAAAAATGTACAGTCGAGTATAGTTGTAGATAAGCAAGAATACTCGTGTAAATAGATATGATTTAATCTTTCTTATTAGATAAGAAGAGGTAGGTAGTCAGATCCTAATTTTTAGGATCTTATTATTGAGGTGGTAGTCTTGTACTCTATATATATTGTAACCGTGTGATTGAATAAAATAAGTCAGACTATTCTCTCAAACGTACATGGTATCAAAGCAGGCCGTTTAAACACCACAATGGTGGAAACCGAGCACTCTGACTCTTCCCCCCACTCACAAATCCATAACCCTGACTCCCGAATTAACTCAATGACAAACTACCCGGCCTCGGTTCATTCATCTATGCTCAATACTGGACATAAATTGAATGGCACAAATTATCTCGAATGGTCACAGTCTGTCAAGCTGGCAATTGATGGAAGGGGAAAGCAGGGATACATAACTCATGAAATAAAGGAGACATAAAGTGGTGATGATGGCTACATCGTTTGGAGGTTAAAAAATTCTTTGGTAACAGCATGGCTTCTCAATTCAATAAATGCATCAATTGCCAAACCTCACATGTTCATGAAAACTGCAAAGGAGGTATGAGATTCCATTAAGGAAACTTACTCGGATCTTGAGAACTCTTCTCAGATTTTTGGATTAAAAACCAAGTTGTGGCAGTCCAAACAAGGAAATAGAGATGTCATCTCTTACTATAATGAGATGGTATCCCCATGGCAAGAGTTGGATCAATGCTATGAGGATGAAGAGTGGGAGAGTGCCAAGGATTTAGCAAGACACAAAAAAAGGGGAGGAAAATGATAAGATCTATATGTTCCTAGCAGGAATTAATAGAGATTTCGATGAAGTTAAGGGAAGAATACTTGGGAAAAACCCTCTACCCTCGATCAGGGAGGTATTTTCTGAAATCGGGAAGGAAGATAGTAGGAAAAAAGTTGTGTACCATACTCCAGTACATAATGATGAGCCAGGAGAGTCCTCAACAATGACAGAAACGTGTTGAAAAAGCCCTACATACTACCATACCTGAAACTGGAGCAACAAGTCAATTTCAAGCAGTCGTCTTTCACCCCAATAACAGATAGAGCAACTCCATCCTACAACTTCTAAATACCCAAAAGAACCCTAAATCAGAAAACCCTTCTTGTTCTTTTGCTCAGAATGGTAAAATTGCATCATTTTTCTGTTCTGGAAAACCAAACACCATCTGGGTCATTGACTCAGGTGCAACAGACCATATGACCTTCACTTCCAATCTATATTCTTCATATAAACCCTGTGCAGGGGACAAGAAAATAAAATTTGCATATGGCTCTCTTTCAGCCATTGCAGGAACTGGAAATGTTAAAATATCCACGTTTATTGATCTTTCTAAAGTCTTACATGCCCCAAACCTATCCTGTAATCTTGTTTCTGTTAGCAAAATACCCAAAGATCTCAATGTTGTGTTAAATTCTATCCTTCCTACTGCATTTTTTAGGATCTGGCATCGGGGAAGATGATTGGCAGTGTTAGGGAAGAAGATGAACTCTATATCTTTGATGAAGGGACTGAATAAAAAAACAAGGTCAAAGAAATGTTTGTCTGCAAACCATTGCTTTTCCCAGTAATAATGAGCTATATTTAATTCATTATAGACTAGGTCATCCTAGTTTTCATTGTTTAAAAAGGTTGTTTCCTCAATTATTTCATAATAAAAATGTTTCACATTTTCATTATGATATGTGTGCACTTGCAAAGCATCATAATTTTTTTTTATCTTCCCACACAGTTACAAAACTACTAGTCCTTTTACTCTTGTGCATAGTGATATTTGGGGAGCATCTAGAGTCCCTACTTTAAAAGGAAAGAGATGGTTTGTAACAATTATTGATGATCATACAAGAGTAACCTGGGTATTCTCGATTAAGCTAAGGAAAAATCAGAAGTAGAAAATGTATTTAAGCAGTTTTATGCAATGGTCCAGACTCAATTCAATACCGATATCAAAATGGTAAGGAGTGATAATGGCAGTGAATACTTTTCTACAAACCTAAATAATTTTTTTGCTGAAAGGAGAATAATTCACCAAAGTTCTTGCATTAATACTCCTGCTCAGAATGGAATTGCTGAGAGGAAAAATAGGCATTTACT